GGCGAACATGGGTCTTGAAAGCATCGACCAACTCTTCATGGATAAGAAGGCGTACCAACCGGAAGGATCGAGTGAGACTACCAAAGAATCGGTGACTTGCACGGAGGTTACGGAGATCAAGCCTGAGAGTTAGGTGATATTGAGGTAAGGTCCTCGAGGGAGTGGGTTGGATGTGGAAGGGCCTGTGTGGTGGGCGGAGACTCAATGGGTCGGTAGGAGAGGAATAGTTAGCTGGTCGAAGGTGAGATGTGAGATGTGAGGGGAGGATGTGTGTGGCTTATGTGAAGGGTCAGTCTGAGTTGGTTTGTCGTAGTTCAAGACAGTATTTAGCAAATAGTTTATATCCTGTAGAGCCAAGTACTAGACAAATGAACAGTTCCACCACGGTATACACCGGAATGACAATTGTGAGAACGAAACCATGGGAGACGTGTTCCTGTACTCGGATGTGTCGTTCGATTACTTCCCAGTTCCACTCAATCATGGGCCACCTTAGTATCCGTAGCGTCCTGCAAGAGGTAGAAGTAGTCTCCCTTAGCTATCATCGTTCAACCCCTCGACCACCAACGCAGAATAAGTAGAGAAGGAACGAAACATGGACCGAGAACCTGAAGAATCCCCTTTCCTCTATGAGCTACAAATCATTTCTCTGAAGTCCCACCCACCCATTTATCCTTGCGTCCGCCGTGTGACTCCGCAAAGTCGCTCCCCACCCGGATTCGCCCACCTCTCAGCTCCTCATATCATCATCTGTGATAACTTTCTCACCCCTGGTCGGTTCTACAACAGATCTACTATGACGCTTCCCACGAGTAGGCTTCACCTTGCCCTCACGCAATGGCGATAGGAGAGAGAAGCTCCCCCATGATAGTTCCAGAGTGCAGGACGGACACGATGTCGGCGGGAGGCACCCAGAAAAGAAGCACGGAAGAACAACAACCACAAGACACGAGCATGCTGCGGTCTCCTGCAAACTCGGTGCCTTTGGCACTGTACATCCCGTACAGTAGGGGACTTACTACCTATGGCATTCGAGCTGTGCAGCTGCCCGACACGCCGCGCGGATACATACCGGCAGCCTCGGCCACCCCCCGTTCACCAGGGATGGGGCATTCTTCTTCCTCATCAAAACAGATGGATATAGTAGGTAGGCATGGGCAGAAGCTAACAAACTGCCAAGCCCTAACCCTGCGCCGTTGGGGTTGCACGCGCGGGGGTATCTGATCGCGATGGCAGGGTGACGTCGACGACGGAGATCCTCGAACTTCTTCTGCGAATATCGGTAGGGTAGTTAGTGCCTTTGTTTACAGAGTCCGAGAGAGAGAGAGAGAGATTCAGGGGTGGAGGGGTTGGTGTTGGTGTCGGTGTTGGTGTCGGTGTTGGTGTCGGTGTTGGTGTTGATCTACGAGTTTGGGTCGATTGCGGGGAGGAGAGGGACGCCTGTCGACCATGCACCATACAGACTACACTAGTCATTCGCGTTTCTCGAGCTGGAAGGCCAGTCAAGGCTAATACTAACTTACCCCTGGGAGAAAAGGCGGTACAAGAAGGAAACGAAAGCAACAAAGGAGATCGTCGAGGCCAACGCAACTGCTGGCGGGCTGCCAGAATCCTGTCCGGCGGTTTGGCATGACATCGCTCGATGGGAGAATGATGCTCGGTCGGACTGGAAGAAGTCCTCTCGATTGGACTGATCAGAATTGTTTATCAAGTACAACCAGATATGGATGTACTGAGTACTGAGTGCTGAGTACTACGGGTTGACTGAAGCGTGGGAACGAACTGGCAGATTTGCAATAACTTGGGCAGTGGGAGGGCGGAGAAAGACGGACTGACCGCTCTTTCACTCTCGCCTCGACCCAACCATCCCAGCCCAATCCCTCTTCCCCTCTTGCATTTTCTACGCAGCTTTCAGTCGAGTCCCTTTCGTCATTTCTTCATTTCTTCATCTTTTCATATTTTCTTTCGGCTTTTTTCTTATGTCAAAAATGGTCAGATCATGCCGGATGCTACATCACAGACATGTCAAGGAAATATCAACAAACGTGAAGGAAATGAGAACAGAAGAATCGCAAGGCAAATATGAAAGATACAGAGTCGAAATGCCCATAACGGTCTCCCAGTCCTTGAGACTATCCTTATCCCACCATGCCCCATACCGTCCAGTCCCGAGACGCCGATGTCCAAGAAAAAGAGAAGAAAAGAAAAGGAAAAGATTTCACAAACATATATCAATGAGATACGAACGGGCGTGATCGAAGAGAGGAATATGAAGTGCTGCCCGAAAACATGAGAATTAGGTTAGTCAGTCGGTGGTGCTTTTGCGTTCGCCTATTATCGAGGTCGTTTAATCGGTTCACGGTCGGGTTGTATGCAAACTTTTGAAGGGGTTGTCGTCGTTGCTGACCGGATGCTGCGCTGGCTTTACGTATCGATCTCCATCCCCGTCCCCATTCCTACGCTGTTGTTCAATCCAGCACCAAGGCCGGTGTCAACCATGGCGGGCTGGGCACAGAGGGTCTGCAAGAGAGGTAGACCAGGCTCCTGCTGAGTGGCCCCAAGGAGATTTTGCGAGGCCGCAGAGGGAAGGCTCTGAGCAGGCCGGTCGGAGGCGCTGAGAATCTGGGTTCCTTCAAAGACGATGGGATTGGACCGCAGATTTTGGAGGCAGAGGTCCCAGTTAGAGCCCACCAGTTGACCCTGAGTGAGGTCATCGCTGAAGAGGAAGAAGGCAGGTACGAATGCAGGACCCAGAGGCGTGACCGGGCGTGCGGTCACGAGATAGGCGTTCAATGCTCGATTCTTCATGAGGATTTCAGAATCCATGAGGTATGCGGAAAACTGACGATCGATATACTTCTTCCAACCACGCACTGCCGCCGCCATGTCCGAGTCCTCAGTCACAATCCGCTGCCAACTGATACCCAACATGCGGGTAGCGTCGTCGACTGTGGGCTCCTCCGGAGAAAGGCGCGAGCTTGCGGGGAGAATGCGGCGATTGTCGTCGGTGTTGCTGGCATCGGTGAGCCGGCTTTGGATGGAGGACAGGGTGATGTCGTCCACAGTCGGGGCGGAAGGATCGAGGCGCTGAGACTTGCGACTGAGAGGATCAGCTGTGCCGGATTGGAGCCTCTGAGATCGAGAGGACACCGGAGCAGAATTGTTGACAGTTTTCTCCGCAGTCTCCTCGTACCACGTGCCGGTTTGACTTTCGGCAGAGATCGCCATCTTGGTACGAGGATTCAGCAAAACCATACCCGGGCCGTAAAGGGGTTTTTCTGCTGTCTGCTTCGCAGGAACTGACGCTAGTACAACAGGTCCGCCAGAGCTTTGGACCTCATCGTCATACCCGACATCATCTCGCGACCTCTTGCGGGAGGGTCTGGCAGTGAAGATATTGGATGAAGTTGCAAACGCATGGGTGCCATTCGCGAAAACCGGCCCTCTGCGTGCATCGACGCCAGGGTTGAAGCGGGACTGATGAGGATATTGAAGGAAAGCGTGTTCCTGGGGAGGGGACAAAACCATGGCCGGGCCGTCGGAAAGGCTGTTGAGCATCATGGGACACATGATGCGTGGGGAATCGCCGCGGAACGCAGGAGACTACGAAAAGAGCTGGAAGACGGAATCTGTTCTGTCTAGTGAGCTGGACACAATAATTTAGAACCACCTGTTTGGGCGCAAAGATCCGAGCCGTGAAGGGGTCGGGTTGTCTGAAGGAGGTAAGGTCGAACAGGTAGGCCACGAGGAGATGGTGTAAGGAAGAGATAGGATGAGGAGAGGATTGAAGGATAGAGCCAGAGCAAAGCGAGATTGAAAGGGTGCGGGTGAAAGTAGTAAATGATGTGATGAGTTGAGAGAAGGGAGAAGAGATGGATGAAGGGAGGGAAAGGAAGAGAAAAGGAAGCGAAGACGGGAAGAGATAACAGAAGAGAGAGAGGGAGAAGGTAGGGTTATGCGAGACGGAGACAGGCAGCCAACAAGAGACGAAGAATCACGGGGTTAGAGGAGGAGAAGGAAGATGAATGGATGAGTGGATGAATGGATTAAGCGACGCGTGAGAAAGAGAGAGAGGTGTGAGAGGGAGAGGAAGTGCACGGGAGAAAGAAAGATGAGCTGCAGGTGAGAAGGTGAGTGCGCAGTGCTGACTGCTGACGGATGCGGAACCAGCGATTGCGATGCGGAGAGATTCCAGGAAGAGCAGGATTTGCCTTGTCTCAGTTACCGTAGAATACTGTAACTTACCCTCTTTGGTAGAGTGTTCTGCCGGGATCAGCGCTCATCGGATCCGCGTGTGACCGTACAGTACGGTGACAGAGTCTGGGCTGAGATCCACCCGCCCTCGGATCAAGCAGCAGTAAGGACGGTGCCATTATTGGTCAATGGACAATTGCCTGGGGCAACCCATGCGAGTGGAGATCGTGACTGTTGGCTGGCGCTGATTGGAGGCCAGCTGCTGCTCCAAGAAAAGCCCAGTCCGCGCGTTGCAGCCCTGAACTGAGGTCCTTGCCGACGCCACCGCCTACCATTATTGGCCTGTGCTCCCAGCAGGCCAAGATCCTCATTTCGACTCTTTCAGGCTGCCGTAATTGGCTCACTGCGGACAATCATCCACCGAGACACTTCCCGGCTCGGAGAAATTCTCCCCGCCGATCACCAGCACCATCACCATGACAATCTGCTCAACACGAAAAATGGAACGTCTATTTAGCTATAACAGGGTGATGCTTCATCATGTAGTAGAATATTGGGGGTGTCAAAAGGAAAAAAGAAGAAGAAAAAAAGGTATAGTCACAAGAAGGTGGTGTTAAACACAACATAAATGTCAATGGGGAATATGAAGCACAAGAGGGAATGACCAGACTGAGAAGAATCCAACTCCAATCCCTCCTGCGAATTAGGCATTTCGCAAACATTTGTTCATCATCGCAGCCCACAGAACAAGACACCAAGCAAACCCCCTCTAAAGCTTTGAAACACCGGGATTCAGAAAATTGTGGAAAAAAAAAAAAAAAAAAGGGAAAAGGAGAAGAAATAGTTCATAAGCACCGGAAGATGAGCGCTTCCGATCCCTGAGCTGTGTTGACTAGGCACAAAGCTACATTCCCCGCATGTGGCCGGCCCAGACAACCCCATCACCCTCCGGCATCTCCATCCCAAGCGGGAACATTATCTTAGGCCAATCCAAGCCATACATATCCAAACATGATCTTTTTTGAGAAAACGAATGATACCGGGGAGCTTTTTGGCCTCCATATCATCGCCCTATAATGAGTCTGCGAGTACCACATCGCAGACTGAACAAGGGACTCAACGACCCCAAGCAATGCAACTATTGTAGGGGTAGGAGAGAAACTGCGCGTGAGCCCCTCTAAGCATTGCCAGCAGTGGCTCCACCGAGCATTCCCTTGACACTGGCGACCTGCTCGGGAGCATAGCTGGGAGCCATGGATCCCATAAGCAGGAAGAAGATCAGAAGACCGGCACCAATGATGATGAACTTGCGCTGAGCAGGGTGAGTGACACCATACTCGGCCCAAGCACGGTTGGCCTGACCAGCATACTCCTTGATCTTGTCGCCACCAAGCTTGTAGTAGACGAGACCGACGAGGGCAATGGAGTAACCGAAAAACTGGAGACCAGTGACGGGGGTCTGCCAGATCATCATGGAAGCGACAACGAGGAGGATATCCTTGAGGACACCGCAAAGCGTCATCACAAGAGACGAGGTCTTGCCAATCTAGAGTGGAGTGTTAGTAGCTAGACCATGTCGACAAGGACGATCGCGACTTACCAGGAAGACAACGGAAACGTTAAGGAGGAAAGCAACGACAGCATTGGCCAGCAATGTCCACACACCAACGTTGTAGATGTGGCCCATGGTCAAATTGGGGACCTCCAGGAACAGAGCGGTGACACCGTTCATGACAGCACACACAGGAGCAAAGTAGTAGAGAGACACGAGAGGGTCCATCTTGTACTCGGCAGAGCTGAGCAGGCGCTGGACCATGACCAAACGAGTAGCCTCGAAGATGATACCGCCGATCTGAAACAGGAAACCAATCATGACGAACTTGATCTCGCCGAAAGAGGCAATGATGACACCAACGACAATGATGCTCACGTTCATGAGCACCTTGTAGTTCACGGGAGCCATGCCCATACCCCAAGTAGCGAACAGGACAGCAACGGGTGTAGTAGCCTGAAGAATCCAATCAGCAATCCGATCGACCAAAAATGAAGTATATTCAACGAACCTTGAGCATCTGAATGAAAGCAACGCTCAGGTACAAGTATGTCACGTTACCGCAAATCAAGCTCAGACTGAAGAACAAGCCGATGGGAACGATAGCGCGGAGATATACGCGGCCAGTCATCTTGACCGTCTTGCGGCCGTCGAGCAGAGTGGTGGTGCGAGCGAGGAGTTGGGTCATGAAGGTCGCAAAGGCCAAGTGCCATGTCGTAAGGATGATAGGGAAACCTATGATGGCGCAAGTCCAGAGATTAGTCGGGGAAGTGCAGTGGGGAAGAACTCAAGGTAAACTCACGGAATTGGGCATAATCCAGGATATGCTTGTTGAACAAGATGACACTGGAACTCAAGGCAATCCAAACGCTGATTGTTCATCAGTACCATTGCGCAGTGACAGCTTGGACGGTTTCTTGAGCAACCTACCTGACATAGACGGCCGGGTGGAAGGCAGGCTTAGGAGGCTCCGACTTATCAACGGCAGGGTTGACAGTGGGCAGGGTAGGCTCCGGGCGAGAGACCTCACCGGAGATTCTGACCTTTTCACCGTCGGAACTCATGGTGAAGATTGGAGTCTGGTCGGATAAGAAGCGTTGAAAGTCGAATGGGCGCGGCCGTAAAAGGCTGCTTTGTCCAAATTTCGCAGATGCCACGGGTGATAATTAAAACAAGGGAAAAAGAAAAAAGGCGAGCGAGGGCAGCAGGGAGAGGGTCTGCGGGTCAAGATGATTGTTTGTTAACGAGTGAGATTGGAGTTGGTCCGAATAGCGATAAGAAAGAAAAAAAGAACTGAAAGGCAAGGGGAAAGACGATAGAGGTGTGAAACTCAATGTCTGAGGATGGAGGGAAGAAGAGAAGAAGAGCGTGGAGGAAGAGGGGAGGGGAGGCAGGGAAGGGGAGGGGGGTAGTGGAAGAGAGAGAGAGAGAGGGCTGATCAAACCGATCGGATGGATTGGGGTACGTATGTGTCTGGCTTGTCCGTCGAATAATAAGGATGATATGGGATGGGTGGTTCGGAACTGGTTCGGGATGGGGGAAGATTCAAGGAGAGAGGAGAGGGGGGGAGGGACACCTACGGCTTGTTTCTTGTTTGGTTCGCTCCCCGGATAGGTATGAAGCTGTGAACACGGCACGGAGGATTGAATCTTAGGAGGGGCGAAAGGGTAAAGCCGAAGAGAAGAAGAATAGACGAGGAAGAAGATGAAGAAGAAAAGAAGGCACTGAGACTGAGAGCAGAGAGGGCTGGCTGGCTGGGGATTCCGCCTCCACTAAGTTGCTGTTCGGTGAAGTGAAGTCGGAGAGAGGGAATAATGGACTGGACAAGGGAAAGGGAAAGGGAAGGATGGGGCGGACCAGTACCTTAGTCGGGGCTCCAGTTTGTTAGACTGTTTAGAGGGAAGAAGTCAAGCTTCCCATCCAGTTCCATCCACCCACTCTTCCCTTCCCAAGTCTAGCGGCCGGCCCTGCAGTTTCCGTTCCTCGTCGCTGCAAGCATCCTGCCGGAACTGCAACTGTTCCTGATTTACTACTATCTACCTATACTACCATGCAGTTACAATGCATCTCTCTTGCTCTATCTATCTACGATGTTCCTCCCAATGGATCCTATCAATCACATTGAAATGTTACCATCATCATCATCATCATCATCATCATCATCATCATCCTAATTCCGGGTGGATAAAGAAGCGCACACACAAACCTTGATCGAATCAGAGGCCTGGACAATATAATCAAGTTAATCAAATATTAAATTGGATAATGAACGACCCTGGCGGCTGGTGCTGGTCGGCCTTTTTTTTTTTTTTTTTTTTTCTCGATAGACTGGTACCCTAATGTAAGCCACTAGAATTTATTATTAGATCTCCAGTGCCAGGCTCTCAATCTATCACGGTCTATCACTTATTTCCCAATGACCACCTCATTCACCTCACTGGTTCTGACGGGCCATTTCGAGTTCTGGCCTGAGTTAAAGAACAATTGAGGGGCCAAAAGAGAGAAAGTGGAGTGTGGATTGACTGGGTCCATCTCACCTCACTGGGAAAGAATCAATACCCGAGGAGGAAAGGTGGCGTGTACTAGATCATACCATTACTGTTCTCTACACCGTTACCCCTATACTACCGTGTATGAGCTCACTGTCTGGTACGTACCAATACCTGTATTGAAGAGGCACGTATTGTACAGTATATATCTTCTCTCCTCCGCAGTCTGGGGGTCTCGATCTTTTGGGTGCATCCCCATCGATTCTGGATTTCTTCGACAGAACCATCTCTGGCACATCCAAGGTATTGAAGCCTTCGGCAAAAGTTCCTTACCTTTCAACCATCAGTCTCAACCATGTCCAAGAGTACGAAAATGAACGGGGGTCTCGATTGACTGTCCACACACAAGTGGGCAGGCAATCCGTGAAACTGCTGTGGGGCGAGGCGATTGTTCATCTCTCGTGGCGATAGCTGGCGGCGAGGACCACTGGTGGTTGGTGTCAATCTCCAGGTCCCCACACTCCATCAGTAGCCCCTTTTCCATTCGCCTTCTCTTCAGGTCGGTCTGAGGAAGCGATTCGAATCCCAATGTTCAGGACAGTCAGCCATGAGCCATCCAATACGAGATGAGAAAGTGGCTGTGACAAAGTTTTTTCCTCCTTCTCCAGCGCGCTTACTTTCGATCTGACTTGCGTCGTGCCTTGGGTGAGGTTGAGATGGGCCCCCGATGCTCGTCACGACGGCTACAGGGCAAAGACGTTGCCTTGCATGAAACAATACAGGGTAAGTAGGGTTGTGTCAGATAGAGGCTGCAGGAGGATCCAATCGAAGCAAGAACATCAACCGAGTGCTGATCAAAATTTATGGCTTCTGGTTTGGCACCGGCCGCATTACGCAAGCAGCCCACTAGCCAAGCACTATCTTACCCGCGTTCAGCGGCCACTTGTCCATAGCGCCGCCGGAAAGGTCCCTTGCCGGTGGAGAATGCGACGATCGGATGGCTGAGGGCCTGACGACATCGTCATGGTTCAATGGCGTGGGTTGGAGACGGGAGCCACTGGCGACTTGGCTCCTCGCCCACGAGGGTCCTATCGTGTACTGTACAGTACCACTCAGCGTAGCAAATTCAGGACAGCAACTGCTGCAATTTTGACGACAATGACGGTCACTAGTATTGCTATTCCTACGGGCTGTGAGACGTTCCCTCGGAAAGTTCGTTCATGTGCCGTTCCGCCCCAAAGCCACGATCCTGTCGCGGCTCTTCTGGTGACAACAGCCGGAGAGAAGAGCGCCCCGGCGTACGTCAGACAGTCACCGAGATCAACGCCAAACAGGCGAGTTGTACCCGCGGGAGGGGCCAAAATGAAGCTTTTCCCTAGCGCATTGATCCCTGGGGCCCTGGGTGGATGAGAACTCCGTTGGCCTCCCTGGGGTCCGCGACAGGTTCTCGAAAATTTGAATGTGTATCCATTGTATAGGACATTGATAACCGTTAACCTTCAGTTTCTGGCAGACGAGCCCCATGGTCCTTCCTTTCTCAGCAGGCTCCATCAGTGGACCCTGCCAGATTTGCCGGTCTCTGGTTCAGCTAACGTGTCGAGCCTGAAGGGACCAAATAGGGGACGATCGCATGCCGATGCTCATCGATGACATCCGTGTTTCTCTCCCGGCTTTACACAAAGTACTGTACTGGATGTCGTGGACTAGCCCTGAGCAGTGCTGAACCGTAGTAGTACCCGACGGGCCCTCTTGTCACCCATGCGTGGTTGTCCCATACATCAGGGGCTTAGGGAGGGGATACAGATCACTACTCTTCGGGGTAGTTGTATGCTGATCGGATGCTCATCACAGGTAACAACCGTGATTTTGGTGACCTCCGTGGAGGTCTTTCAAGCAGGACAGATCGGAAAGGATGTGATGAAGGACCGATATTCGTCACATTCTTACACTCCGTACATATTACTTTATGTACACATTCATGTATGTGCTACGAGTCAGGGACATGTATCAGAGCGTCAACCTCGACAGGCAATGATGTTGACATAATCGTAGTCTGTGATTTGTCCGGGAAGCGCATCACTCTTGACCGGGGAGATTCTCAGATAGTCTATATGCAATAAGATAACATTGAGTAAGTAATTAAGTCGAATTCGTCCGATCCTGAAGCCCGAACGCATACATCGTAGTCACTGGGTAGTTATATTATCACGTTCAATCTCGGGAATGAAGATTACCGGGCCATGGGGCACGCTTTCACCGGGATCAATTTCTTTAATAGATTGGCCAATTTGCATGGTAGGAATTAATATCGCTAGATGAAGTCGGGGCCTGCCGAGACAATGCTTGCAAAGGGTGAGGGCGGGAAGCTTGGACTATGGATAAGTTAGACCCGGGCACGGAGTACTCCTCGTAGTACTGAGTAGTCCGTAGCCTTAAATGAGATGAGGCAGAGACCGTCACAACTGTATCATGGATCCAGTTCCAGAGCGCGGGCTCAAATTACTGATAAGAATTGCAGATAGACAGATAGACAGGCCAATTGCATGATTGACTTCTAATTGCATGTCTTACATGGACTCGCAATTTCTGCCCCCCAGCTTGCGACGACTGGGTGGGAGAGTGATAGTACCTGAGTGCACATAGTAGTAATATCAACATGGGTGTACTGTACGTATATGGTTGTCTGTTTGGCGACGAACCGTAGGACGGAGCAGGCACACTAACCTCAAACCAGAACAAGTGAGCGGAGCTTCCCCCTTTTTTTCGATCTTCTTTCGCATTTTGCCCCTTTCTCAAGTTTGACGGAAATGGGTCCAGCCCGTTCGTTCCATTTGCCATTGATGTCCCATTCGTTCCAAACTCTCATTATTTAGGGCCTAAACTTGAAACAGATCCTTCCCGGCAGGCAGCCTGAGCCTTGAGGCCTCTTTCCTGTTCCTTCTTTTTTCCCCCCCCTCCCCACTCCACCCAAACCCACACCCACCGCTCACTTTGTCACGTTTCGTGTTCCCCGACCGGCGGCGTTGCGTTTTGATAACAGCTACCTATACCTTCCCCTCCCCGCCTCGCTCTCCTTCACCGTCTTCTTCTTCTCCCCTTCTCTTCTCCCTTCAACCCTCCCCTTCCCCTCCTCCTTTCAGCATTCGCTCTCTTCTCCCTTAAATCCAAACTGCAGTTCTTTCCCTGCAGCTTCACGATTCCTCTTCTATGCTGAGCCTCGCCCGCAAGACTCTGAACCGCGTCCCCAGCTTCCAGGATATTCTACAAGGCAGGATGACCCACCCAGACATGTAAGGAGTCCTCCATCAGCTTTTCCCCCTCCATCGTTTCGCGCGACTGGATTCATGAAGCTGTATACTTACATGGTTCTCAATAATCTACAGCTCCGTTGACGTTCTTGTCATTGGTGCCGGTCCTACTGGTCTCGGTGCCGCTAAGCGTCTTAACCAGATCGTACGCACTTCCGCATTCCACCACCAAGCAACGGAATTGGCAATGCTGACGCGACATGCAGGACGGCCCCTCTTGGTTGATCGTTGACAGCAACGAGATCCCTGGTGGCCTTGCTTCTACCGATGTGACCCCCGAAGGCTTCGTATGTACCCCGCTAGAAACCTCACATACACCCTCTCGTGCAACGTCTACAACTGACTACGACGGCAGCTCTTCGATGTCGGTGGCCACGTTATCTTCTCTCACTACAAGTACTTCGATGACTGCATCAACGAGGCTCTTCCCAAGGACGACGACTGGTACACCCACCAGCGTATCTCCTACGTCCGTTGCAAGGAGCAATGGGTTCCCTACCCTTTCCAGAACAACATTTCCATGCTGCCCAAGGAGGAGCAGGTGAAGTGTATCGATGGTCTGATTGACGCTGCTCTCGAGGCTCGTGTGGCCAACACCAAGCCCGCCAACTTCGATGAGTGGATCGTCCGCCAGATGGGTGTCGGTATTGCCGACCTTTTCATGAGACCTTACAACTACAAGGTTTGGGCTGTGCCCACCACTAAGGTGAGTCGACGCATCTGGTCGCACCAGTGGACTCGATTGCTGACAGTTGAGATAAGATGCAATGCGCTTGGTTGGGTGAGCGTGTCGCTGCTCCCAATGTCAAGGCTGTGACGACCAATGTCATCCTCAACAAGACCGCTGGTAACTGGGGTCCCAACGCTACTTTCCGTTTCCCCGCTCGTGATGGTACCGGTGGTATCTGGATTGCCGTCGCCAACACTCTCCCCAAGGAGAAGACTCGCTTCGGTGAGAAGGGCAAGGTCGTCAAGGTCAACGCCAACAACAAGACTGTCACCCTCGGCGATGGCACCACCGTCGGCTACAACAAGCTCGTTTCGACCATGGCTGTCGACTACCTTGCTGAGCAGATCGGCGACCAGGAGTTGATCGGCCTTACCAAGGAGCTCTTCTACTCCTCCACTCACGTCATTGGTGTCGGTATTCGTGGTGAACGCCCTGAGAGAATCGGTGACAAGTGCTGGGTAAGAGATTCATATCCGCCAAGATGAAAAAGTTCCAGAGGAATCTGTGCTAACCAAGGATTTCCGCAGCTCTACTTCCCCGAGGACAACTGCCCCTTCTACCGTGCCACTATCTTCTCCAACTACTCCCCTTATAACCAGCCCGAGTCCTCCAAGAAGCTGGCTACCCAGCAGCTTGCCGATGGCTCCAAGCCCAAGAACACCGAGCCCCAGGATGGTCCCTACTGGTCCATCATGTTGGAGGTTTCCGAGTCCTCGATGAAGGCCGTGAACCACGAGACCCTCTTGGCCGACTGTATCCAGGGTCTTGTCAACACTGAGATGCTCAAGCCCACCGATGAGATCGTCTCCACCTACCACCGCCGCTTCGACCACGGCTACCCCACTCCCAGTCTGGAGCGTGAGGGTGCTCTTACCCAGATCCTGCCCAAGCTTCAGGCCAAGGACATCTGGACCCGTGGTCGCTTCGGTAGCTGGCGCTACGAGGTCGGCAACCAGGACCACTCCTTCATGCTGGGTGTGGAGGCTGTTGACAACATTGTCAACGGTGCTGTTGAGTTGACCCTTAACTACCCCGACTTTGTCAACGGTAGACAGAACACTGAGCGCCGCCTGGTTGATGGTGCTCAGGTTTTTGCGAAGAAGCACTAAATGTGCGCGGAGTGATTATAGACGACACATATTTTAATATCTTGAAATGACCGGGGGATCAAAAATGATACACAGGGAGTCTGATTTTCTTTTTCCACCCATAAACCAGCTGTTTTGTTCCCATTTCATATTCCCCTTTTCTTTACCTTTTTTTGTCTGCTTGAGAGCGATGTACGGGAGATATCTGTGCTGGCATCTCTCTTGTCCTGAGTGGTGGTGAAACAACCAGCTTTTTTCTTCTACATTATTTGCTAGAATATCCCCAGATTTATAAATGAGCAAGAATTCTTATAAACTGTGTTATGTTTCCGAATGAGGTGCGATATGCGACAGGTGCTTGTGATCTCGTCCCTCTATATTTGGATGCGTGTCATTGCCACCTCCGGCCGGGCCTGATCGGCTTTGATTTCAGGACCGATATGAAACATAATTCGGGCGGGCATTATCATGTCATTCGCGTGTCTCATGTGAGACGTCTTTTGCTATTCGCAGCTCAACTGCCGTGCAGATGTAGGTGTTTCGCATCCGACTTGCCCGATCCAGCCATCTGGTGTGATCGGAGGGCTCCCCTGGGTGCGACGGTAGTCTGTAAACACCGCAACCTAAATCCCCGACCGTGACTCTCAGGGGATGTATCGATCTATCTATATCAAACTTGTCGACCCATACAAGTACTACTCATACGAGTAGCCAGTTGCAGAGACCCAGGCCACCGATGGATCGTGGATCGACCCCCCCCGGCGAGCCAGACCTGTCCCTGTCCCTGCCACAACCCAAAACCCACAAGCGTTTCACCGAGAATCTAGCCTCGATATCTGTAAGGCTGACTGACTCCAGACCGCGCAGCTCTAGTCCCGGGCTCTAGCTCAGCTCACCTCCAGCTCCGGCTCCGGCTCCGTTCCACGCTTCTGGTCGCTTGCGCGCGATCATGCCATGCGTCATGTGTGCAGTGCTTTGCTGCTTCTTTGCTTGGCTGGGCTTTGGAGGTTTAGGTTGTTGCTTGCGGTATTTGCTGGATTGGTTGTTTGGGTGTGCTGTGCTGTGCTGTGCTGTGCTGTGCTGTGCTATTGGTCTTGGATGCGAAGGACGTTGGTACAGTGGGTGGGTTAGTTGCAATTATCTGGTTGAGGTAGGTGAGGTATGCTCCGTATGGGTCTAGGTAGTAGATACTACCGTAGGTTATATCCTAGAAAGATTCTTGAATAGAAGACCACTCCGTAGGATAAGCCTCTTTGTGCATTGTAAGTCGATTGATACCTCTAATCAGGAGTCCTCGACGCCGAACTCCACTATACCGGTATCCTCGTAGATCTGAGTGGTGGTTATTACGGAGCCTCAGGTATTCAGGCACACGTCCACTAAACCAAGAACTAATCTCGAAACTCCAAACCAAACCATCCCAACCCCTAACAGCCTTAGCCCGGCTCCACTGCACCGCCGACACTAACTGGAAGAAATCAGGAACCCGAAGGTTCCAAGGCTCCAGCTCGGGGGACGCGTAAGTGCTTTGCCATCAAGACAAAACCACCTAGACGACCTGCTCAGTAGGTGCATAGGAGGAGCAGCACCAGGTGTTGACGACACCACAGCCTGCGATGGCGAAAGATTGGGGCCAGCGTCTACACTCAACTTCAATTCGTTTGTTGAGGTACTCGGAAACCATAATTACTGAGCATCCAGAGGATGCTGTCGTGGCCTGATAACGTGGACTTGGAACCACCGTCCGTCCCCGAGTCTTGGCCTCTCACCAAAGATAGAAATGGGGCAATCCCTGGGCTGGGCTGGGCTGGGCTGCTGGGCAGTGGGCACAACTGTGCATCTCATAAGGCAGTGCGCCAAACCGAATCTAGCATGACATACTGTTACATCTCCTGTTTCTCCTGTTTGCTACTTTGCACTTTGCATCAACAATGCCATTGCCAGGACCTGCACTAGTTGAGTGTTCGCACATTATCCCAACCACCGCCTGCCCGCCTATGTATGCTGCACTGTACCATACCATCTGAACTCATTGCATGACAGTAGCTGCACCTTCAAGCTGACGTGCCTCTCCGCCCACCGCCCACTGTTCCATACTCAACAGGCACAGGAGCGCATCCGACTGGTCAGCCACGAGCTTGTTGAGAGACACGGCTCCGCTCTTCCGAGGGGCATGTACTCGTACTCTTAACTCTCACTCCACCAGATCTCTAAACTCTTCTGACTCTGAGCTCGCGAGCATCTCGAGCATCGCCATGTTGACGTACTCTGCAAAATTTGCCGCCTCCACATCAATCGAGTGGCGGAACGCTTCCTGATGCTGTCCAATGGAGAATCCATCAGAGATCTTCTCAGCGAACGCCTGCGTGTGAGAATACGTACCTCGTCTTCTACCGCTAGAGCGTGGTCTTGTGTGGCAGACATTCGCATACTCAACGGCTGCATCCGGGTACGTGGCTTCCCATTGCCAGACAGGGTCAACGATTGAGCAAGTGCTGTGAGCGTCGCGAATTCAGACCTTGGTGGCTGATTTTCCTGACGGAACTGGTGGAAACAGAGAGATCAGCCCTGCGGCTGTACATACACCTTAGCTTCCCCATGGATAGACCTGTACTTACCTCATGTTTGCCGGCAATGGTTCTGGGTGGATCCCCGTAGCCCTGGCAGGAACCGGTTCCAGGATTTTGGTCTGGCACTTGGATCGATGGGCCTACGTCTGTCTGGGCACCGGGTGACAGCTTGTCAATAACAGCAAGGTTGACTCCCTTTAGTTTCACCAGCTTGGTCGGACGCTGGGTGTTCTTGGGGCCGCCATTGTCAACTGGGCGACCGTGCAAGTGTGCTTCTGTCGATCTTGAACAAGAATGAGAATCATGCTGCGATTCAGTGAGGGAAGTTGCCTTATCACCTAGAAGTGTGGAACTGTGGGCTCCCACCGCGCAACTGTCACGGCTTGGCACAGCATCATCCAATAGGTTACTGGCCCGCTGGCCGCGTGTTGATTTTGTTGAGGATTGCAACTTGGTCTTGACACTATCAACCATTGCGTCTGTGATCGATGCACTTTCGAACTCCTCTTTATCTGTTGAGCAAGGTGAGATAGGCTTTGTACTCCGTCCCGGTCGATTTGTTCCCAAAGAACGTGGGTGAATCTTATTATCAGATCTTGTGCCACGTTCTTCGTCTGCTGCGCCCAGGTTCGTATGGGTCCGATTCAAGTCCACTACATCTCAGCGGCACATCAGCCTCATTCTCTGAACGAGCCACAAATAGCTGTCCGCTTATACATACCTGACTGCTGCGTTGGCTGTTTCTCGAGCAATAGATTGGTGAGAAGATTGGTGAAAAGCACAGCACGAGAATCTAGCGGTGCTGGAAGAGAAACAGGAGAAAATAAGTCCGATCGATGGTGAAGAGAACAAGAATTCAATGAGACAGGAGTCTGAGAGCAAGGCCTGGGAGAACGTGTTTCACCTGTGACATCACCCCTGACACTGTTTAACACAGCCCCAAGCTGTGTTAAACAATCAGACAAAGAAGTCTCTGAAAGGTCATAATAGCCTGGCGAATGCTCGAATTCCTCTCCATTTCGACCCCCTAAGGGCTTGTCATAACCATCAATTGAAACCCGACATTCACTATGCACATCTACATTTTTCTCAGCGGACCTTGTCGCCTCTAATGACAAAGCAGATGGCTGCACATTGACCGGCGAGCCTGCGTCTATTGTCGACGACGAAGGGGAAGTGGATGCCTCTGGTGAACACGCAGACCTGGTGTCATGGTCTCCTCCTCTGCCACGCGACGACGAGCCCTCTCCGGGATCCTCGTCTGGAGCCGAATAACAAATGGAATCTGGCGGCGAGACGGACGGCGCAGAGAAGAGGTCAGAGTCGGACTCCAAAAAGGCATCATCATCCCCATCATCAAAGCTGCTGTCATTCAGAAATTGATCGTGCTGGTGCCATTCCGCCAGCCGACTATGGCGGTTCAGAAGCCGCTGAAGATGATAACGTAGGTCTCCGTCTCCGAGGGTTATTCGGGTGGGCTTATACCGTATCATGGCTCTACCTTGGAGAATTCCGGTTATCTGGTGTAATCCCTACCTCGTTTTCTTTCGGGGATGCTCGGATTCAACTTCCGATGTGAGACTGGGCTGGGGGGGGGGGGAGGGGTTCGTGCTACATAGTAATCCCTTTTTTCGGGTGAGATTATATTGTCCATGATACTATCATCCTGTCTACGGAAGGTACTGAGCGAGAACTTGTTCATGAAGTCAAGGAAGGAAGGAGCGATGATGTGGTGAATGGGCAGTTGCTGCCTCAGATGGTCAGTCATGGTTGTGGCTGAGTGGGTGTAGTTCAGATTCGATGTCTTGATTCTTGCGTAAATAGGCACCAGTCCGACGATCCGGCGATGAATCGAGCAAAATAGGAATGAAATCTATTTTTAAACTCCAACTCATGAACGGTACGAGCCCTGCAACAGAAGAGGTGGTCGCATTGACTTGTGGACTGTGATGAACCTGGAACTTATCCATCAGTCGCTGTCACGGCAGACTGGTGGGGAAATTACTGCATTACCTCAACCTACTACTATGGACCGTGACAGGATTTATATATAGACCAGAGAATGATCTATGATGGGTATTCGGGCAAAGCCACGAGTCATTTATCATTCTAATAGCCTGTTGGATAGGGTCTACCAAAGAGGATCAAATAGGTTCGCATCTAGCATCTCAGCATCAAGCGCGAGGGACTGGCTTGGAGATTGACAATGGTGGACTTTGCCGCCTAATTAAAGATGGACTGACTGACTGGGACTTTTTCCGATATCATTATGATAGACTGGACGATAATCTAACCCCAAGGAACAAGAGTCATGTTAAATAGTTCATAGGAAGAATGCTAGTTGTTGAGCAGGCGACCACATCTACAATTGAAGAGAATTCGTAGTTGAGTGACAGAGTTAAGCTACAGTGAGGTGGTGTTGATGATAAGTAGGATATGAACAGTATATTCCTGAGGCTACCATCATCACCGTCACTGTCAGCCTCACCCATCATCCATCAACCTCCATCTTCCCATCTTCCCATCTTTCTCTTCCTCTTCCTCGTCCCTCTCTCAACCTTCAACAGCCTCCTCTCCCTCCCTCCCTCCCTCTCTCTCTCCTCCCCCACACCCTCACAACATCCATCACGATCTGATCCTCTTCTCTCGTTCTTCTATTCCCCTTCTCTGGCGCAGATCTCTCGCTTGTTGTGCCTCGATGCCTCCCCATCCGCATCTTCTCCGACCGCCGCCATAGTTCACTCACCATCCCCTTCCCTCGGCCGCCCCCCCTCCCTCTCGCTATCTCCCTCTCGCTCATCTTCCACTCTTTTTATTTTTCTGGACCTTCTCCTGCTTCCCTTCCTCTCCTCTAGCCTTCCCCCTCTTCTTTTTTTATCCTCTTCATTCTCTGTTTCATCTTGTTGACGGTGGGTGCCACGGTGGTGCCTGACCCAGGACATAGTGACTGTTCCCCCTCTTCTCCGTCTCCCATCTCCATCTTCGCTTTCCCCCCTCTTCTTCCTCCCCAAACTTCACCTTCCCCAATTCCCTTCTTCCCGCCCGCAACCCCCTTTCATTCCGCAACACCTCCCCCCCCCCCAAATTCTTTTCCCCCCTCCCCCTCCTCCCCTCCAATCCTCCTCTCCCTTTTCTCTACCTTAGGTTGGTTTGAGAACCAAACCACCTATTTATCACCATGGATGGGGATCTCAGTCTCTCCCAGTCGTTGGGAGGACTACGCATTGCCAACCCTGATGATGCTTCGTTACATTCGTCTGAAGATGCATCAACACCTGCCGCCGGCGCTGCTTCAATAGCAGATTCCGACCTGGTACGCGATCCCGCAACCTCCGAACGTCCAGCAAGTGCCTCCTCTATCTATCTTCCCCGACCGTCAGCACCTCCTTCCAGCTCCGAAGTCCAAGAAGCCCTCGCCGCGGTACAAGTCGAGCCCTCAACGAGGACCTTTGAGAGTCGGAGCTCGATATATAGCCCATACTCAGACCCTGCACAGCCGCAAACCTCGCAACCTTCACAAGCGACGCCTCAATACTCCCCCTATATGCCTCAACAGCAACCCAACCCCGGTCCGCAGTCCTCCTCCCGTCCGCTCTCATCATTCTACGCGAACGGGTCCACCTCCACGTTGGCAGCTCGAGAAGGCTCATATCGAATTCGGACCGATTCCGCCGCGTCTTCCGCCTCTGAAAGTCTGGCCCGGGCAGAGTCTCGCGGAGGCTCCGCAGCCTACCAAGCGGGTGTTCCCATACGCGATAACAATCACAACGATCGGTCGTACCGCTCGGCACAACTACCTCCCGGAAATGGACCAATGGTGATGCGTCAACCCTCTCGCGCCCACAGGGGTCCGTCGACAGGTTCCCCGTATGCCATGGAGAATGGTCCTAGCTCGAGCAGTGAAGATTGGCAAGATCGGGGTGCGGCTGTTGCTGTACGGCAGGAAATCGACGCCAACGGTAAACCGGTCGCGCGTTATATTAAAAAGGGGGTCCGCGATTTCTCGTTCGCTCATACGCTCGGGGAAGGCTCGTACAGTACCGTCGTATTGGGCACGGACCGCCAGACACTCAAGGAATACGCGATTAAGATCTTGGACAAGCGACACATCATCAAGGAGAAGAAGGTCAAGTATGTCAACATCGAGAAGGACACTCTCAACCGACTCACCGAACACCCGGGTATTGTTCGCTTGTATTACACATTTCAGGACGAACGGTCCTTATATTTTGTCTTGGATCTCTGCAAGGGAGGCGAGTTGCTCGGGGTATTGAAGCGCATGACCACTTTCGACGAAGAATGTACGAGGTTCTATGGCGCCCAGATACTAGACACGATCGACTATATGCACAAACGTGGCGTCATTCACCGAGATCTAAAACCGGAGAATGTTTTACTGGACGGTCAGATGCACATCAAAATCACCGACTTCGGAACGGCCAAGATCCTCAAAAGTCAACGGAAACCGGGCCCAAACTCCAGCGGAATGCCTCCGCTCGATGCGACCGAAATCCCCGAGGATGAACGCGCGAGCTCTTTCGTTGGCACAGCCGAGTATGTCAGCCCGGAGCTCTTGACAGACAAGAATGCATGCAAGGCAAGTGATCTGTGGGCTTTTGGCTGTATCATCTTCCAACTTCTCGCTGGGCGGCCTCCTTTTAAGGCTGGAAATGAGTACCAAACCTTCCAAAAGATTGTCGCGCTCGATTACGAGTTCCCTCCGGGATTCCCTGCGGTCGCTCGCGATTTAGTCGAACGCCTGCTGGTACTGGACCCGGCACGTCGTTTGCCGATTGAGCACATCAAGAACCACGAATTCTTCCAGGGCATCACCTGGGGCCCGGATCTATGGAAGCGGAAGGCGCCTCGTCTCAAGGCATACGTTCCGCCCCCACGCGAGCCCATTAAGCTCAACAACGGCGGCAATGGTGAGAGCTATCCTGCAGGCATCAATGCAGCCTCCGTAAACAACAACGCTACTCAACGGGTTGTTCCTCGACTAGTGACCGAACTTCCGCCGCCGAGCCAGCTGGACATCGAATGGTCGCCCGTGCTGACGAAAACCAATGAACGGATCCTCAAACTCGGCAACCTGGTCGTTTTGTCTTCTCCCGCTGCCCACAGTCCAGTCTCAAAGAATGGCGGTGAATACGAAGCGCCTCGGAAATTCTCGCGATTCTTCGGTGGCAGCACGACGAAGAAGCGTCAGCGCCTAGTTATGGTGACCTCCTCTGGCCGGATCATCATGGCAGCATCTGGCGGCGAGGAGAAGAAAGCGAAGTTGGAACTGTCTCTTCTTACTCCGGGCACGACATATCGAACCTCAACAGACGCTAAGGGGACCTCTTGTTGGGTAGTGGATACGGTAAGTACAGTCTCTCAGTGAAGATGGATTTGATTTCTAACTCAAGCCTCCAGCGTGACAAACACTATGTCTTTGAGGATCCCAAGCCGTCATCTGGTAGCGTAGGAACGACCGCCATGTCCACTCAGGAGTGGTTGGATACTCTGGACCGAGCCAAGGAGATGGCTCTGTCACAACAGGGGAATGGCTCATACTCAGATGACGCCTTCCGCGACCTGTCATCCGGCTTGTCTAGCCATGCTAATACGTTGGACCGGAGCTCAGAACTCCAGCAGGAAGGCGCACCCACGGGCCGTGCCACTTTGGTCAAACAACCGCCAACCGATACAGACTCGGTTAAAGGGAAAAAGCGATTCAGCCGACGCCATTCCAAGAACGGCCTTGCGGCGGTCTTCTAGGCGCTTCTCACTTACCCTTCTATTACTCAAACTTCAACCCCCCGATCTCTTCTCCATCACTTTTTCTCCATTCCCTGAAAAGTTGGGATGCTGTCCACTGCGCAGGATCGCACACCTCACTCTCCTCTTGTCTTTAGAACATAACTCGTGCGTGTGTTTTGCTTGATATCCCCGAGGGTTTCCCGCAGCTGCGATTGGCAATTCTGTTTCTCTTTGCTACCACTTAGCAGGTCTTGCTTTGGGCTGTTGTTTATCGCGGGAGACCCAGTCATACACTCTAGCCAGCGACTTGTCGATTTTTCCTTTGTTTGCATCTCGTGTAAGAATTGTGATGTGGTCTCATTTGTGTGTGACTTTTTGCCCTGCATCTTTGCAATGATGAGCGTTGTTTTTTCTTCTTTCTCTGGTTGAGATTGTTGCATTTAGATGGGAAGGAGTATGCATATATATCCCTCATCTGGCCCGTTTACCACTTTCGATCGCATCAATCTATCTTGCGCGATACTTCCCTTTATCTCATTCTGATATATATCCTTTGGACCTGGTGAGATCCAGGATCTTGAGATCAATAGATCTTGATTGTTCGTGGGAGAGAAGAGAGAGAGAGAGAGTGCCATGAGTGCATCTTCTCGCTGGGAGTTATCAAATCAAATCTCTAATCTTTTGTTTTTCTCTCAACGGTGTTGTTTGATCAGCGACAGGATCCGGTGTTGGCTCGGAGCTTACTTGGGTTTTTCTTTTCTGGTTTCCCTTTCGCCCGTCCCCTTTACTCTCATCACC